ATATCAAATTATTCCAATCTCCTTGCTGCTGTTTTAATCTGAGAATAGGATGTACCCAATACTTCCTTTGAGATATATTTAAATTTCTCTTTTCTCTCTTTTTTCTTTTTATATATAATAAGAAAAGCAATAATTTTCTGCGTTTTAATTTATCCATTTCAGCTATATAATTGAGTAGTAAATTATTATTACCTCTAATTGTAACGCACAAAAAATCAAGATAAAATATTAATTAATATGCTTATATAATACTTGCTTCACTTTAAAAGATATTTTTTTTAAGATTAACAATTATTTAATTTTAGGTTAGAACGTTAGGTTAAAACGGACGAGCTCGTATAGTTTGCGCATGTTACTAGATCTTAACGCGTTCTGTGTGGACACTAGAAAAATTAACGCGTTGCAAGAAGCGACGCGTAACGCATCAACGCGTCCTGTGTGCCGGCAGCCTTGTACGTTTGATTACTGCGACGGGTCAATTGGTGCGACCTGTACAGAGATTGTATCGCTTGGAAGTAGATATCGATATGGAAACGGAGGAACTACGTAAAGTTTATAATATAATAAGAAAGTTAAATCTAAGTCAGCTATTCGACACCAAAGTACTAATGAGATAGAACAAGTCCCTAACGATGTAGAGTTAAGTAAAGAAGATGTTCCTACTGTTCCATATAAAACGAGAAGTGGACGTATTGGTAAATACAAGTTAAAAGGTTTTAATTTAGACGTCTTTTTAGATGTTCCCTGCATTTGTGAAACGGGAATATCTAAAAGGTGGGAGGATGTTAAAAGAGCACTAGATTTAAGCTGCAATACGACGTACTCGCGGCCAATAAGATAGCGTAGATAACTACCGTGGAAGCACAGCGTTGTACAGAGAGAAAAAGATTCTAGACGTGAGGTGGCAGCAGTGTGATTCGCCGAAGAAAATAAAAGAGTGTGTGTGTGCGAGCACTACATCGATTGTCGATCCATGGAAAGATCTTACGTATTATGGATATTAAAGTGGCTCGAAGTAAGGAAATAGTTGTAATTCTTCCTCGTTATCCCGGCTATCCTCTCAAAAGTAACAGGTGCAGTATTCAATTGCAGTGCAATTTGTGTGTACTGATATACTCTCAACGATGTACATATAATGTTAATATTGATTTATTAATTTAGTGTATTATAATAATGTGGGTAGTTTTCCACCAATGAGACACAAATAGACACAGTGTCAGGCACAAAACAGTTGTGTAAAGCCGCTTGTTGGAACATTATGATTCTTAGTACAGCCATAGTTGGCATTCTATAGTGAATTTTTTCTTGAAATTTTACTCATATGTATATGTACATACATCTGCTTTAATTGCATAGTAAGTATAATTTACAAAAATAAATTTTGAACTTCACATTTTCATAAAATAATATAGTACATAAAATATAATGGTATATAAAATAATATAGTACATAAAATATAATAGTACATAAAATAATATTTCCCTAATATTTGTTAAATAATTGGCAGCCTTGAATTGAACACAAATCACCTCGACTCACCTCTTTAGCTGTGTATATTTGTGTCGAGCTGTGTCGTTGTAGGAAAACATTATGTCGAACACTGTGTGATTTTGTGTCGCTTGTGTCTCTTGGTGGAAAACTACCGTTATAGCATCAACAACAGAAGAATACGATAATAATACTTTGTCTCTGACAGCATCAAATAATGAGCAACAGTCCACAAGTAATAACGATGCAGGTTTGCAGCAAATTAGTTGCGACGAATTGCTTGTGTAAGTCAGAAGCAAGCATTATTTAATCATAGAATTCCTGCAAACGAAAGAAGCAATTTAAAAAAAAAAGCATTATGGCAAAAAGTATCCAATCAAATGGGAGGTTTGTAGAAATATTTAGTTTACTGACACTTGATGGCATGCAAGTGATTGTTGATAATATGATAATTAAACTTTTACTTTTGTTATTTGTTCTTATTTAGGAGTTGTAGTGCAATCGAAGCAAAGAATAGATGGAGATATCTCCAAGACTGTTATTCGAAGGCAAAGAAAAAAGAAAATGATTATATACCAAGTGGATCAGGTGCAGAAGAGCTTTTAAAAAGAAAAAATACATTTCGGTTTAATCAACAGATGACGTTTTTCAACGATGTGATGTTAGGGAAATCTCCGTAAGAAAAATGTAAAATTTTGAAATAAGAGGCTTTGATTTGTTTATATATTGAATATACATACATATACATATGTATATACACATTTTTCAAATGTGCCTATGATATGAGTTCAGATTAATTAATGATAGATGGTTATTATTTAAGGGCTGGGTAGGACTTCCGTTTCCGGTGCGTAGTAAGAGCAACACGTGGTTTGGTGGTAAGAGAAAAATTGAGTGAGAAAAGAGAATAGAGATAAGGAGGGAAGGTGAGAGTGAACGAGGTGAGAGTGGAGGTGCG